GTTCTGATTCCAAATATAGCATGTTAATGGTAACCGAGCAATATTTTCGAAAATTCGGTGTGAAATTCGAATTTTTCGGAATTTTTAAAATTGCCATAAGTATTTCAACTGGACGAATGTGGAAAAAAGGTTTAAGTTATCGAAGAAATGAAGCCAGAAGTGACTTCTGAGGTCCAAAATCCACAAGAAAATCTATTTAGTTAAATTTCGAAAATCGTAGAGAATACATAATGGAAAATTACATTTTTGAAAAATTCGTCTAAAAATTCTGAAAAAATTCAGGGTGTTGATTCCAAAAAGATAGCGTGTTTATGGTCACGGAGTAATATTTTTTTAGAATGTAGTTATTATCCATTGTTGCTTAAGAATTCTTTAATTTTGTTTAATAAAATTAAGGTTTATTTCTTGAAGTTTGTTTTCAACTGTGTATGAAGTTGTTATTCAATTTCCTTTCAGATTTTTGGGAAAATCGCTGATCCGAACAAATCGTTAATCCGAACACACCTTTTTCCCAATTAATTCGGATTATCGAGGTTCTAGTGTACACGACGAAAACAACCAAATGTCACCCATGTTATGTGAAAAAGAGTACCTATACTAGTTAAAATTTTATAATTTTTTTTGTTTAGAACGCATTTCTGGAAAATAGGTGAAATACCACAAAAATTGCCCCTACCTAAACGAAATCCTGTATCCGCGCCTGCCCCCGAGAAGGGTTCACATTAAAAAAAGACACATGGCGCCCTCGAGAAGGTTTTACATTTTTAAAAAAGACAGTTGGGACCCCCGAGAAGGTTTTACGTTTTTAAAAAAGACCGTTGGGTCCCCCGAGAAGGTTTTATATTTTTAAGAAAGATAGTTGGGACCCCCAAAAAGGTTTTCCATTAATAAAAAAGACATTTGGCGCCCCCGAGAAGGTTTTACAATTTTAAGAAAGACATTTGGGACACCCGAGAATTTTTACATTAACAAAAAGACATTTGGCGCCCCCGCTCATTTATTAAGTACAATTTTGAAAGGGGATTAATTATTTAGGCAGTTTTTTAAACATTTGGGCGATTACATTGGACAGTTAATAATTCACATGGGCAATATTAAATTTTTTATGCAGTAATTGAATAATTGTTGCAGTAAAATTTGGCCAGCATTATAAAAGGATATGATTAATCATTTAATCCTACATGGGCAGTGCAATTATTATTTGAGCGGTAAAATGATTGAATGGGCAGTTAAATAAATAAGTTGTAGAAGCTAAATCTTATTTTGGTTGAAAAAAGCGGTACAGATGCGTTAAGGTAGGCGTCAGTTGATTAGCTTCGTTCATTAGTGCAGTTCAGAGCACCGATTTAACGTACATTTGTATTATTTTTGACTTCTGATCGCCAGTATTATGAAGAAAAACACTGATAGCGAAAAAGAGTTTTCTTCAACTTTCCTGTTGTTGAAAGAAAACTCCATATATAAAAAAAAAAACAAAAATTAAGCCCCACCCATCCGCCCCGATCTCAATTGTGATCAATTTTTGATTCCTAATCATACCAAAGGGTCGAGTTTAATTGCAAAATCCTCATTTCTCTACAGGAAATTATCATATGAAATATGTTTTTACATCAATATTTCTCTAAAAAATTGTACCGTTTTAAAAACATAATTCATATGGCAATTTCTTATAGAGAAATGAGGATTTTGCAAACTAAACTCCGCCTTTCAGCACACGATGAATAAAACATTAATCACAACTGGGGAGGGGTAGGTGGGCGGGGCTTATATTTTGTCGATTTTTTCTTAATATACGAAGTCTTCTTTTTCCAACAAGAAACTGAAAACATGTTTAACGTTCCTGTTGTTGAAAGAAAACTCCATATATTAAAAAGAAAAAACAAAAATTAAGCCCCACCCACCCGCCCCGATCTCAGTTGTGATAAATTTTTGATTCCTAATCAGACCAAAGGGCGGAGTTTAATTGCAAAATCCTCATTTCTCTACAAGAAATTATCAAATGAAATATGTTTTTACGTAAATATTTGTCTAAAAAATTCTACCCTTTGAAAAACATATCTCATGTGGCAATGTTTTGTAGAGAAATCAGGATTTTGCAAACTAAACTCCGCCCTTCAGCCCATGATGAATAAAACATTCATCACGATTGAGAAGGGGTGGGTGGGCGGGGCTTATATTTTGTCGATTTTTTCTTAATATACGAAGTCTTCTTTTCCCAACAAGAAACTGAAAACATGTTTAACTTTCCTGTTGTTGAAAGAAAACTCCATATATTAAAAAAAAAACAAAAATTAAGCCCCACCCAGCCGCCCCGATCTCAATTGTGACAAATTTTTGATTCCTAATCATACCAAAGGGCGGAGTTTAATTGCAAAATCCTCATTTCTCTACAGGAAATTATCAAATGAAATATGTTTTTACATAAATATTTGTCTAAAAAATTCTACCCTTTGAAAAACATATCTCATGTGGCAATTTTTTGTAGAGAAATCAGGATTTTGCAAACTAAACTCCGCCCTTCAGCCCATGATGAATAAAACATTCATCACGATTGAGAAGGGGTGGGTGGGCGGGGCTTATATTTTGTCGATTTTTTCTTAATATACGAAGTCTTCTTTTTCCAACAAGAAACTGAAAACATGTTTAACTTTCCTGTTGTTGAAAGAAAACTCCATATAATAAAAAAAAAACAAAAATTAAGCCCCACTCACCCGCCCCGATCTCAGTTGTGATAAATTTTTGATTCCTAATCAGACCAAAGGGCGGAGTTCAATTGCAAAATCCTCAATTCTACTCTTTTAAAAACATATTTCATATGGCAATTTCTTGAAGCGAGATGAGGGTTTTGCAAACTAAACTCCGCCCTTCAGCTCATGATGAATATAACATTCATCACAACTAGGAAGGGGTGGGTGGGCGGGGCTTATATTTGGTCCATTATTTCTTAATATACGAAGTCTTCTTTTCCCAACAAGAAACTGAAAACATGTTTAACTTTCCTGTCGTTGAAAAAAATTCTATATATTAAAAAAAAAAAATTGAAGAATCAAGTGTTATTTCGCAACAAATGATTAAGGTACACCTTTTTTTAACAGGGTGGGAGGTCATTGCACGAGGCGAAGCCGAGTGTAAATAATCCACTCGTGTAAAAACAGTATACATATTATTATACGAGTTGTACAAGAAGCGTATTATTTCTATTTTGTTGCACAATTTCAATAAAAAGTTTAAAATTTCTACTTACAAAAATCCACTTTAGTGTTATGTGTGACGTTCATTATGACACTGTTTTTAATGTTATAATGAACTTGATTTAAAAATATATACGAACTAGTTACTTTTGCAGTAAAATGTGTTCTTTATTTCACTTAAAATCGACAATATTTTAAAATACTACTAGATTTTTCATCAGTCACGTAAAATTTTTATTTATTCTACCACCCAACTAGATTTGCATGCATTCAAGGATTTATTGAAGTACTCATTTCAAAATATGTGTCTCCCCGTTTTTATTTTTTTTTTGCTGCTCATATTTTACCGCTCAATATGTTATTAAACAATGATAGCCATTTTGAAACGACGTCATCACATTATTGGTGGTGATGATTAAACAAATTTTGGTTAGCGTTTTACCATCTACGTGATATTCCTAATATAAATACAAAATTTGGCAACAATCGGCCCAGTACGTTCGGAGATTATCTGTTTAATAAAAGTCCGGGACGCCAGACAAACGGACAGACAGACAGACGGACAGACAGACAAACAGACGGGAACGGTTGCTTACGCTCAGGAAGTAAAAAATTAGGTTGGCGTTGCGTCACGAAAACAAATGAAGCAAAACTTTTTTTTAGGAATAATTAGAGCACAACTTCTTGTACCCCGATACCTAATTTCACTTAATTTGTGCAACTGGTTCTCAAGATATTAATTTACAAAAATATACAACTCTCTTCATTCCAATTACTACGCTTAATATTGTTCGGTCTTATCTTAGCAAGTACTAGCCCCGCCCACCCGCCCTCTGTTTTCTTAGAGGGTATAACATTTGCCAAAATCAGTCTTATCTTAGGAAGTACTACTGTGCCTGTGTACAGTGTATCAGATGAATTTTATTTAAAATACATAATTTATTTTGCCATTTCAATCAGAACATAATTAGAACACAACTTCCTGTTCCCATATTTCTAATTTCAGGTGATTTGTACAATCGATTCTCAAGATATTTAACCATTTCTATACATTCTAGCGACGATCTACGTAACTTAGTGACATAATGGGCAGCGAAAATTAGATCACAAATAAAAAAACAATTGAAAGCTTTCGATAATAATGTTCACCGCAAATTATTGCTAAAAAAATTGAATAGTTACAATGAACCAAATTATAAGCCACAGTACAAAAAGTAATTAATTTAAATGTACATCTAGCGAAAAAGCCACCTCTGGCGTCCCACAGGGCAGAATCCTCGCTCCGTTATTGTTCCTCGTATATATTAACGATCTGACGGATAACATTAACGATCTCAATTTAAATATAACAAAGTAATAAAAACTAAACAATGTATTTTTGTACCTCTTGTGTGTGTCACAGTCCTATAAAAAATTCTCCCATCGGTAGCCCCACCCCGCGACCCTCCACGCGCTCGCCGCCCGCCCCGGCATCGAACTCTCCCGTTCGCTTCCTCGCAACGCCCTTGCTAGGTCGCACACACACGCACGCGAGGAGCGGCAGCGCTGTCTTTGGGGGCACTCGGAGTTCAGGGCGCGGCTGTGACCCGCAGCCACTCGGCAGGGCCGCGCCCCGCGCTCGCGAGGTCACTCGCCGGCTGAACCAGATCAGATCGGCTAAATAACCTGTCCTGTCTTGTATTGACCACCGGTGAACGGGCTCATGCACCACGGTCGCTGCATTCCTGCCCGGCTACCGGTCTGCAGGGACGACTTCATTACGGTCCTGGTGATTTCGATGCGACGTCGCAGCGGGAACCGCGACGCCGCCCGCCCGGATTTCGCCGGACGATTTTCGCCGGACGAGCCAGTTATTTATGGGACGCTTTTATGGGTTCGCGCGCTACCGAGCCGAAGTGCGCCGTATGCAAATTGGTTAATGGGTGTATAAATATCGGCGGGATGGGGAACGGTGCGTGGAGGTGAGGTTTTGTTGTGGGTAGATGGTACAGATGGCTTTATTTTAGAGGAAATGAGGTGGTTATGGGTGAATTGGTTCGTGTTGGAGATTGCTGGCGTCGACGATGAGAATAAATTAACGAAATATGCATTCGGACAATGTCCGTAAGGCGGTTTTTCGGTTCTGGTCTATCACCTGGTAACTACTACAAAGGCGTGATAATGACACTCTGATATATAATTTTGTATTATAAAAATTTAGGAACTGAAGCATCCAATACTATTGCACGACAGTTGTAGAAGTTCCTAATCAGTGTATAGGGTAAAAAAATCAAGGCGGATTCATAAATCACAGGTACACTGACTACAATTACAGTTACAAAACCCATCACAGCCTAGTAACAGGTATATCGAAACTTCGCTGGATTAAAATAGCGCCTTTCATTTTACAGTTGCTGGATGACGTTCTCCGAATAAAAAGTTGCACTTTTTTCAATAATTTTTTATTTATTTACACTAAAAATCATGCAACCAATTAAGCCATAAAACCCCACTCGTCCCAATCTAAACAAACCTTTCCGACCAGCAGTGATGAAATCCTCAAACAAGCCGGACACCTGTACGACTCGGACTTTTATAAATAACAGAAGGTTACAGTTTAGCGTTTTACGATCCGTTGATTCTACAAGCAATTAACAATCTTCCCGTTGAAAAAAACGAGAAAGAATTATGAAAACGCGGTAAGTCTTGAGGCTCGTGTTAACACGACACCGTTCAGTTTCATCGCCGAAAAAACTGCATTAGCGTAACACCACTTTTTCTCCTAGTCCGAAACGAATCACCGCCATTAGAAAGAAAAATAAAATGGCCGACGGATATACGAGCATGTTGACTTACACAGCTGCAAGCGATCACTTTTTTAAATATAATAATATCTCTCGATGCCGGAAATGACCTAAGAGAGTAATACGTGGAGCCTTTATAGCTCACCGGATTATTTATTAAGAACCGCAACTTGTCCAGTAGTTAATGCACTATAAAGGCATTTGATCCTTATAAACACAAACGAGTTTGCGCTTAATTAATATGTTTATCTCGGGGGCTTTAATCATCCCGACTTTTCCCCGATAACAAACTCAGTCCGAAACAACTCCATCTAAAACGAAAAACAGAGCGAAAATTTTTATGAAAACTTAGATGCGTTGAACCCCCAGTGTTCATAACCGTAAAGCGTGCATATTATGGAAGACTTCTCGGTCTGGATCACGTAGGCTTTGATAATTTAGTTGTCGTGCAGAGGCGCAGGACGTGCCAGAATCCGATCCAGATGAGACAATTTTGAGTGGTTGTGTGCGGTGGGCCGATGGTGGGCAATTTCGTGGAATTATGCGATTCGAACCATGTTAATCGATCATTGTGGCTGTGTATTATTGGGACGCGGTGGATGGATGGGTTACGGACACGTTTCGTTATTGTTACGGTCGCGTTCGCTATTTTAATTCAGGCTGCAGAGTGTGGAAAAGTCGATTATTGCCGAGATGTGTTATTAGATGTTCGGCGGAATTCCTGAGATTCCGTGTACGGCCGGAGCAGAACGGATTACTGAATTAGCGTTTCGAGAAATGGGTATTAGTACAATGTAACAATGGGAGTTGTTTATTTAAGTGTGCAGGCGGTAGTTTTGATTTTTGATTATAACATGAGAATGAATAGGTTTTGTTCTCAGAGGTACACTTGATCTGATTTTTTTCCAGAAATTCAAAAATCTATCTATAGACTGTTCCTGGTTTTCTAGCATGAGAAATGTATCTACTTCTTCTAAATATGAAATTTTAAGTACGTTTTTGAATTTTTAAAATTCTTTATTTCTAGAACAGTTTTTTTGGAAAAAATGTTGCACGATTTCACAAATAATACCGTAATGATTTGCTTTGTGTTCAAATTGTATATCTCTCAGCAAAAGAATTCATATGAATAACAGAAGATTTTATTCTCAGAGGTATCTTCGATCCCATTTTTTAAACAGATTTTTTCCAATAGTTCAAAAAGCTGTAGACTGTCCACAGTTTTCGAACATGAGAGATTTTCTTTTATTTCTTCAAAATATGAAATTTTAAGTCTGTTTTTGAAGTTTTTGAAAAAAAAATTTCTATAATTTCACAAACATTACAAGGTAAAAAGCTGTAATGATTTGATTTGTGTTCAAATTGTGTGCCACTCAGCAAAAAAATAGAACAGTGAATTCGTAAACTGTGATTCTTTATTAGTCATAAAATCCAATGATTTCTGATTAATCACATGAATAACAAAATTTTTTTCTCAGAGGTATTCTTGATATGAAATTTTTTAATCCTGATTTTTTCCAGTTATTCAAAAATATGTAGATTTCCCTCAGATCTCTAGGATAAGAAATGTATCTACTTTTACCAAATATGAAATTTTAAGTACGTTTACAATTTTTCAAATTTTTTATTTCTACAAAAGAGATTTATGAAAAAAATGTTTCACGATTTCACAAATAATACTGTAATTATTTGGTTTGTAGTCAAATTGTGTATCCTTCAGCAAAAGAATTCATACGAATAACAGAAGATTTTATTCTCAGAGGTATCTTCGATTCCATTTTTTAAACAAATTTTTTTCAATAGTTCAAAAAGCTGTAGACTGTCCACAGTTTTCGAACATGAGAGATTTTCTTTTATTTCTACAAAATATGAAATTTTAAGTCTGTTTTTGGAGTTTTAAAAAAAGAAAATTCTATAATTTCACAAACATTACAAGGTAAAAGGCTGTAATGATTTGATTTGTGTTCAAATTGTGTGCCGCTCAGCAAAAAAATAAAACAGTGAATTCGTAAACGGTGATTCTTTAATAGTAACAAAATCCAAGTGGTGGCGATACTTTTGATTTCTGATTGGTCACATATGAATAACAACATTTTTTTCTCAGAGGTACTCTTGATATGAAATTTTTTAATCCTGATTTTTTCCAGTAATTCAAAAATATATAGATTGCCCCTGGATCTCTAGGATAAGAAATGTATCTACTTTTTCCAAACATGAAATTTTAAGTACGTTTACAATTTTTCAAATTTTTTATTTCTACAAACGAGATTTCTGAAAAAAATCTTGTACGATTTCACAAATAATACTGTAATTATTTGGTTTGTAATCAAACTGTGTATCGTTCAGCAAAAGAATTCATACGAATAACAGAAGATTTTATTCTCAGAGGTATCTTCGATCCCATTCTTTTAAACAGATTTTTTTCAATAGTTCAAAAAGCTGTAGACTGTCCACAGTTTTCGAACAAGAGAGATTTTTCTTTATTTCTTCAAAATATGAAATTTTAAGTCTGTTTTTGGAGTTTTTGAAAAAAAATTTCTATAGTTTCACAAACATTACAAGGTAAAAAGCCGTAATGATTTGATTTGTGTTCAAATTGTGTGCCACTCAGCAAAAAAATAAAACAGTGAATTCGTAAACGGTGATTCTTTAATAGTGATAAAATCCAAGTGGTGGCGATACTTTTGATTTCTGATTGGTCACATATGAATAACAAAATTTTTTCTCAGAGGTACTCTTGATATGAAATTTTTTAATCCTGATTTTTTCCAGTAATTCAAAAATATATAGATTTCCCCTAGATCTCTAGGATAAGAAATGTATCTACTTTTTCCAAATATGAAATTTTAAGTACGTTTACAATTTTTCAAATTTTTTATTTCTACAAAAGAGATTTCTGAAAAAAATTTTGCACGATTTCACAAATAATACTGTAATTATTTGGTTTGTAGTCAAATTGTGTATCCTTCAGCAAAAGAATTCATACGAATAACAGAAGATTTTATTCTCAGAGGTATCTTCGATGCCATTTTTTAAACAGATTTTTTCCAAGAGTTCAAAAAGATGTAGACTGTCCACAGTTTTCGAACATGAGAAATTTTCTTTTATTTCTTCAAAATATGAAATTTTAAGTCTGTTTTTGGAGTTTTTGAAAAAGTTGTTCTATAATTTCACAAAGATTACAAGGTAAAAAGCTGTAATGATTTGATTTGTGTTCAAATTGTGTGCCACTCAGCAAAAAAATTAGAGCAGTGAATTCCTAAACGGTGGTTCTTTAATAGTAATAAAATCCAAGTGGTGGCGATACTTTTGATTTCTGATTGGTCACATATGAATAACAACATTTTTTTCTCAGAGGTACTCTTGATATGAAATTTTTTAATCCTGATTTTTCCCAGTAATTCAAAAATATATAGATTTCCCCTAGATCTCTAGGATAAGAAATGTATCTACTTTTTCCAAATATGAAATTTTAAGTACGTTCATAATTTTTCAAATTTTTTATTTCTACAAAAGAGATTTCTGAAAAAATGTTGCACGATTTCACAAATAATACTGTAATTATTTGGTTTGTAATCAAATTGTGTATCCTTCAGCAAAAGAATTCATACGAATAACAGAAGATTTTATTCTCAGAGGTATCTTCGATCCCATTTTTTAAACAGATTTTTTTCAATAGTTCAAAAAGCTGTAGACTGTCCACAGTTTTCGAACATGAGAGATTTTCTTTTATTTCTTTAAAATATGAAATTTTAAGTCTGTTTTTGGAGTTTTTGAAAAAAATTTTCGATAATTTCACAAGTATTACAAGGTAAAAACCTGTCATTATTCGATTTGTGTTCAAATTGTGTGCCACTCAGCAAAAAATAGAACAGTGAACTCGTAAACGGTGATTCTTTAATAGTAATAAAATCCAAGTGGTGGCAATACTTTTGATTTCTGATTGGTCACATATGAATAACAAAATTTTTTTCTCAGAGGTACTCTTGATATGAAATTTTTTAATCCTGATTTTTTCCAGCAATTCAAAAATATATAGATTTCCCCTATATCTCTAGGATAAGAAATGTATCTACTTTTTCCAAATATGAAATTTTAAGTACGTTTACAATTTTTCAAATTTTTTATTTCTACAAAAGAGATTTCTGAAAAAAATGTTGCACAACTTGACACATAATACTGTAATTATTTGGTTTGTAGTCAAATTGTGTATCCTTCAGCAAAAGAATTCATACGAATAACAGAAGATTTTATTCTCAGAGGTATCTTCGATCCCATTTCTTTAAACAGATTTTTTTCAATAGTTCAAAAAGCTGTAGACTGTCCACAGTTTACGAACATGAGAGATTTTTCTTTATTTCTTCTAAATATGAAATTTGAAGTCTGTTTTTGGAGTTTTTGAAAAAAATTCGTTCTATAATTTCCCTAAGATTACAAGGTAAAGAACTGTAACGATTTGATTTGTATTCAAATTGTGTCCTACTCAGCAAACAATTTAGAGCAGTGAATTCGTAAACGATGATTCTTTAATAATAACAAAATGCAAGTGGTAGCGGTAGTTTTGATCTCTGATTG